CCACGACCTACCAAAAAACAAACAAACAAAAAAAGCTACCTTTCATGATGATTTAGGCTCCAAGAAAAAATGGTGGATCCTATATATACACACAGACCTAATTTATTCCTTCTTCAATAATTGTGTGTGTGTGTGTGTATGTGTGTGTGTGTGTGTGTGTGCACGTGCACGCTGGTCAGGGACTTTGAACTAAGGCCTGGGCACTGTCCCTGAGCTTTTGTGCTCAAGTCTAGTGCTCTACCACTTGAGCCACACCTCCACTTCCAGTTTTTGGTGGCTCATTGGAGATAAAAGTCTCACACACTTGCCCACCTGGGCTGGCTTTGAACTGTGATCTTTAGATCTCAGCCTTTTAAGTACCTGGCACCAGGCTTACTTTTCTAAGTCCCTACAAGGAAGGAGAGAGGAAACAGCAGTTTAGAGCTGTGACATCTTAGAAAGCAGAAGGGAAGGGCTGGGAAGGTGGCTCAGTGGTAGAGCGCTTGCCTTGCACGCACGAGGCCCTGGGTTCGATTCCTCAGCACCACATAAGCAGAAAGAAAAAAGCCGGAAGTGGCGCTGTGGCTCAAGTGGTAGAGCGCTAGCTTTGAGCTGAAGAGCTGAGGGACAGCGCCCAGGCCCAGAGTTCAAGACCCATGACCAGAAAAAAACAACAACAACAACAAAAAGATCAGAAAAATGATCATTAAGCATGTCTAAAGTGTAGGCAGATATAGAGGAATGAGGTTGAGGTGTGGGGGTAGATGGAGACACATAGAAGGTTCTAGACTTTGATGTGGGAGCAGGTTAATAAATGCTGACTACAGAATTAAAGGTGACCAATTAACGAAGCAAATGAGGTCAGGGTAATATTTTAATCCAAGTCTGTGACTTTGGGAAAACAATAACTTTTAGGTGACTTAGCAGAACTGAGAAAAGTACGTCAGCAGTAAAATGGTAAACTCAGCTCTAGAAGAATCTTCAAGTTCTGAAGATTAATCAAAAGAAACAAAAAAGTAGAGATGGCAGTGGGTTCTCTGAAGTACAGGTGAAATGGGTGAATTGAAGTAAAGCTACTGAGGAGGCTGAGATCTGAGGATCACAGTTTGAAGCCCGCCTGGACAGAAAAATCCATGAGACTCTCAACTCCAATGAACCACTAAAAAGCTGGAAGTGAAGCTGTGGCTCAAGTAGTAGAGAGCCAGCCTTGAGCAAAAGAGCTCAGGGACAATACCCAGGCCCTGAGTTCAAGCCCCACAACTGGCACCTAAAACAAACAAAAACAAAAAATGGTATATGCCAGGTATGGTGATGTATACCTTTAGTCTCAGGCTAGGGAGATTTTATTGCAGTCAGGAGCTTGACACTAGTAATACAGCAAAACCCTATCTAAAAATCCAAATCAGCCGGGCACTGGTGGCTCACGCCTGTAATCCTAGCTAGTCCGGAAGCTGAAATCTGAGGATCACGGTTCAAAGCCAGCCTTGGCAGGAAAGTCCATGAGACTCTTATCTCTAATAAACCACCAGAAAACTGGAAGTGGCATTGTGGCTCAAGTGATAGAACACTAGCCTTGAGCTGAAGAGCTGAGGGACAGCGCCCAGGCCCAGAGTTCAAACCCCACAACTGACAAACCCCTCAAAAGCAAAAAACAACCAAATAAGATGGAACCAAACAAAAAAAAATCCTCAAAACCCCAAATTAAACAGTTAGCAAGAGAATAAACCAAGCAAGCAAAAGACGCTGGACGAACACAACAAAAATCCAACATTGGAAGGAGATAAAAGGGGAGCACTCACATTTAGGAGTGGCAAAGACCACCAACCCAGATTGAAAGGGTTAAAATGTTCCAATCAGATGCAAACACACATTCTGAGTGCAGACTGAGCCCAAGCAGAAAATTGAGGGTTGCTTTCTGATAAGAAAATAAACTAACAGTAAGGCAATGATTAACTCAAGGAGAAACAAAAGCCTGCTAGGAAAAGCAATCGATACATTGTTACCCTCTTACTTAGGATGAATGGTCATTGTTATGGTTTCAGTAAGAAATGTATCCCGCAATCTCACCAGTTACATGCATGGTCCCCAGATGGCTGTGCTGTTTTGGGTAGTGGTGGAAACTGTAGGAAGTAAGGCCTGGCTGGAGGAAGTTGGTGCAAGTCTAGCTCCTCCTACTCTCCTTGCTTCCTGTCCACCATGAGGTGAAGAAACTCCTTCACACACCCCACTGCTGAGATGTTCTATCCCTGGGGCTGGGGCCATGTAACCACAGAATGAACCTTTGGAGCTGTGAGCCTCATCAATTCTTCTGCTTGATTGGGTGATGGTGGCTCCTGCCTGGAATCCTAGTCACTCATGGGGCTGAGATCTGAAGATGGTGGTTTGAAGCTACCCTGGACAGAAAAGTCAGTGAGACTCTTATCTCCAAGTAGCTAGCAAAAGACCAGAAGTGGTGGTGTGGCTCACATCACAGAGTGCCAGTGTTGAGCCCAAAAAAGCCAAATGAGAGTGGGAGGTTGTGATTTCAAGTTCTCGTATCAGTATCTAGTATCACCCCAAAACTGAACACTTTATATACATGAAGGCTTCCATCTCATAGGGCTGTCTGCACAGTACTTCATTCGGACAAGAGTCCAAGCCTTCTGAGAGCAAAACCACTCGAATGATGGTGCCTGCCATACTGATGGTGAAGATTTCCTTCTTTGTTTTCTTCATTTGGGTCAGTTATGGGGCTTGAACTCAGGGGGTTCCAGTTTTTATAATCACTTCCTGTTAAAGCATCTGGTCAGCTGAGTGCCGGTGGCTCACGCCTGTCATCCTAGCTACTCAGGAGACTGGGATCTGAGGATCATGGATCAAAGCCAGCCCAGGCAGGAAAGTCCGTGAGACTCTTATCTCTAATAAACCACCAGAAAGCTGGAAGTGGCGCTGTGGCTCAAGTGGTAGAGTGTTTGCCTTGAGCTGAAGAGCTGAGGGATAGTGCCCAGGTCCAGAGTTCAAGCCCCATGACCCCCACACCCCAAAAAAAGCATCTTGTGACTGGTGACTTGAGGAAACCTTATCTATTAATCTACCTAATATTCTCAAGCTGTGTTGTTCAATCTGTGTGTGTGTGTGTGTGTGTGTGTGTGTGTGTGTGTGTGTGTGCTGGTTGTAGGGCTTGAACTTGGTGCTATCCTTTAGCTTTTTTGCTCAAAGATGGTACTTTATCACTTGAGCCACACCTCCACTTTGGACATTTTGCTGGTTAACTGGAGATAAGAGTCTTACAGACTTTCTTGCCAGGCTGGCTTCAAACCATGATCCTCAGAGCTCAGCCTCCTGATCAAGCTAGACGTGAGCCACTGTGTCAGGTTTCACCTTGCCTGTCAACTTGATTGGACTAAGCGGTGCCCAGGAGAGGAGAGAGGACACCTCTGGGTGTGTTGGTTGAGAGTCCTTCTAGGGATCAGTGTGGCTAGACAACTGGGAGGTAAAAGAACTGTGGGCAGTCGAGTCTGGCTGGAGGAGACTCAGGTCTCGCCCGGGCGCTGGCTCGCTCCTGCCCCCTGGTGGCCAGTACCTGACGTTGTGGGGCTGTTTGTCGCAGGAGAGCACGGTGTTGGCGATGGACTGTTGCAGGTGATGTCTTTGTCTCCTCAGCGTCTGCTGGAAGTCGTCTTCCAGGGTCTGCACCACGTAACGCAGAAACAGGACTCTCCCGGGCAGAGTCTGACCCTGGGAGGGAAGGAATGATACATCAGCCTTTCTCCATGGTCCCTGGATGATGCTAAGTACTGACTGGTCACCCTCATTAGGCTTCTAGGGAGTCTGGGTCATTGTAAATGAGGAAAAACAGGGAGACTGATAAAAGAATCACACTCTGGGAGAGCTCAGAAACCATTTGTGTGTGAGTACTAGGGTATGAACGCAGGGCCTGGGCACTGTGCCTTAGCTTTTTTACTCAAGAATGGTGCTCTACCATTTGAGCCAAGCCTCTACTTCCAGCTCTTTTGCTGGTTCACTGGAGGTAAGTCACAGGGGTTTTCCTGCCTGGGCTGGCTCTGAACTGTGATCCTCCAATCTCAGCCTCCTAAGTAGCTAGGATGACAGGCGTGAGCCACTGGCATCTGGCCTGCTTTGTCTACTTTCTGTCCATCACGCAGAATCAACTCTGCTCCGCCCACTTCTTTCACCGTGCTGCTCTGCTTCCCCCTGGTCTGGAAACAGTATTAATCTCTCCTCTTTTTACATTGCTCCTCAGGTATTTATGACAGCAATGGAAAATCCGACTTGCACACGCACTACATTTGCAGCTTATTCATACAGTCCCGAGAAGACTGAAAGGTGTGAAATAGAAACTGCAAACCCACTGGCCACTAACTTCCCATTTCTTACTCCCCACCTGCACCCCTGGTAACTACATTCTATTTTCAATTTCTTTTTTATCACTTGTGGGGCTTGAACTCAGGACCTGGGTGCTGCCCTGAGCTTTTTGTGCTCAAGGCTAGCAGGCCGCCACTTTGAGCCATGTGCCCTTTCTGGTTTTCTGGTGGTTCATAGGAGATTAAGAGTTTCCTTTCCTGCCTGGGCTGGCTTTGAACCACGATCGTCACATCCCAGCCTCCTGAGTAGCTAGGATTATAAGCATGAGCCATCAGCGCTCAGCTTTCCATTTTCTATATCTATGAATTTTTTTTTCTAGTATTTAGTTTGAATTCAGGGCTTCATGTTTGCTATGTGCTCTATTGCTAAAACATGCCCCCAACCCCACTTTTTGCTGGCTATTTTTTTTTTTGT